TTGCTTATAGTATCGCAATATATCGGGATATATCGTATCGTGACCCCTCTGTCATGATATGTATCATATCGCCAAATTCTTGCCAATACACAGCCCTAATGCCAACCATCAAGTTGTCATACCAGCAGAAGGCATGACAACAACGCGACCTTAGAATGACCCCTAAAAGGCTCTCTCACACACCCTTTCTGATTAATTTTAGATTTCAAAATAACAGCTGGAAATTTTAAAAATGTGGCTTTACTGCTTAATATTATCTGAAAATGGCATCTTACAAGATTTTATGACATTGTGCATAACATTGTTTAGGTCTGACCAAAACAGCTGAGTGTACACATAAAAATCTAGCTTTAATCCATGCAGTGTTTTGAGTTCAGAAAGCATACAAAAAAGAGAAAATAAACTAACAAAAGGAGCCCAGAGGTGCAAAACCACTTAAAATATTTTATTAAGTATTAATTAATTAACATAACAATCAGGGGGAGAAATTCTTTGCTGCTTTATTATAAAATGTTTCGCTTTTTGTCTTAAGTGCAGCTGGGTTCTGCACAGATTATCCATAGCCTATTAATCAAGTTCCGGCTGTTTGATTAAATCACCTGTGACAATATGTAGCTACTTTACATATTAATGCGCCAGTGGACGTCCGTTTTTAACTGTTAATTTGATGTAGTGTTTGCAAATACTACATTGTAAGTCATGTTTATTTTTATTTTTTTTCCTAGTGATACAAAATTATCTTCAAATATTACTAATTAAAAAGACTTTTTCTGTCACCAAAAAGCAGCGCCTACAGGAGCGGTCTCCTTCTGCTGTATTCAGATAGGTCTACGAGGAAAACATAAATGGATTCCTCTAAGAATTGACGTGTCCTTCCTGAGACAGTTTGGACTTTGGCCACTGCGTGTATACCTACATAAGCTTCTACGTTTCAGAAAATGTATGTTTTACGGGTTTAAGGCTAACTTTCTCCCACACTTCCTCGAGATGGGACACGATGCAGAGCATCCTGGAAAAAAAATTTAGCCTACACCTGTGATGTTGTGGCGTAGGACAAAGTTTAAACAAATTATCTCACCGTTACATCGACAAAACTAATTTCACGACCGACAAAATACTCACCGAACTACGGTGTGGTGGGGTTAAAAACAACTTGGTGGTCTCGTTGTTTCCCTTCGGTGCACGCACTGCAGTGGTGGGCGTTTTGTCCGGTCCAGCTTGTTGCTTTTTAGGCTGTTCGTCAGATGATTCGCGAGCGTGGTGCGTTTGAGGGAAGCTCGTATTTCCGAGCTCCTTGTGTACAGAGACAAAAATAAATAAATAAATAAACAGCAACCAAAGAAATAGACTTTATCTGGCAGATATTTGTTTGCTATTCTATGGAAGCCCATTTCCGCCACCCTGATAAAAAAAATAAAACTTGTATCTCATAATTATGACTAATTATGAGATAGCTATCTCATAATTATGAGATTCGGTCTCATTATTATGAGATAGTATCTCATAATATGACTTAGCATAATTATGAGATACTATCTCATTATTATGAGATACTATAGTATCTCATAATAATGAGATAGCTAAGTCATAATTATGAGATACTATCTCATAATTATGCTAAGTCATAATTATGAGATACTATCTCATGAGATAGTATCTCATAATTATGACTTAGCTATCTCATTATTACAATAATGAGATAGCTAAGTCACAATTATGAGATTAATAATGAGATAGCTAAGTCATAATTATGAGATACAAGTTTTATTTTTTATCAGGGTGGTGGAAATGGGCTTCCATACTATTCACACATATGCACGTATTGTCAAAATTGTAATTAAATTATCATAACTTTAATAAGTTAAAGGAGGTCTTTTGCACATGAAAATAAAAAATGGCTTCAAATGAACATGTGGTATTTTAACTGTTTACTTTGTAAGTTACTGCAGAGTTTGTTAAATAATGAAAAACGTTAAAAACAAACATGCAAAAGGCTTACTGTATGTTTAGTGGGAATATTTCTTACGGGCTACTCAGTCTAGAAAGACATTAACTAAATCTCAATGTAAATCTGATGATTTAAAAAAACTAGAACTGTATTTTGGCAGCAAACTTATTAAATTGTTTAGACTTGTCTGGTGTTATTCAAAGAATAAACAACTATTGAACCACAATGATGTCTTTGTGGAGAGATGTCCATAAATGAAAATAAATGATAATGTACTAAAAGGAAAAAGACTCGCAGACAGTAGCCTATTAAATCATTATAAACTTACATCTGCATCTCATCTCATGCTCCACAACCCTCACTGATTAGCTTTTAATACGATAATCTTCAATGAAACAGGACTTCCTTTTGGACCAAATCAGAAGACTGAGTTCATTTTTTTTAGTCTTGTCTTCCACATCAGTAATTCAATACTCAGACTATTAGGAGTAAATAAAGGACTCCACCTGGACTGACAATGTATCAAAATAAAATCACACAGCAAAGGATGTCATCCATGTAATTAAATTTATTTTAGAGTAATAATAAAACAGCACAATTTCATGGGTTTATGACTGTAAGAATATTTTTATTCCACCAATGTGAAGCAAAAAAAAAGGCAATTTCTGCCAAAGCCAGGTCTCTTTCTGCTTGAGTTAGTTTGACACCTTTTTGTGCTTTTGTTGCTTCCTGTGTTCTCCAGTTCTATTTTCCCACAAGACCAGAGGAGGTTTAATGGTGGTGCATGAGTGAGCATGAGTGAGCATGAGTGAGCATGAGTGACAAACACAAACAGAAAGAATTAGGAAACATCAAGCACAGTGAAAGAGTGTCACACACACGCACACACAAACAAACAAACACACATACACCAGCCATTTCAAGTTCACAGTAAAGCGAAGATTAGCAAAAGGCTAGCTAATCATGTATCAAAAAGCTAAATAAAAATATGAAAACGCTATCCAAAAGCTACAAGTAAAAGCAGTAAAGGTTATCTAAATACAGAAAAATGCTATCCAAAAGCTAAAAACAGAGATGGAGGCCTCCGTTTTCAGTTGTCCCCCTCCTACAGTGTTGCTATTGCCAGTATCACTCCTCCCCCTGTTAACAATAGGTGTTAATTAGGTGTCAACGATAGCCATGTGATATGAGTATCAGTCACATGGAGGCAGTGCTTAAAAGCCTGAATTTTGCCTGAAACTCTCAGACTGAAGAAGTCTCTTGGAGGAGAGACGAAACATTTCTTTCTCATAATCTTACCACTTGAAACATCACTAGCCCTGAAGCTGCTGGTAGACATCGTGGTTGGAATTATCAAAGGT